TTTGAATGGTACTGGTATTATATATGTATACAGGTAGCTACAACTCTGCAATACGGAAACATATGATAATAGTTATTCAAGCAATTAAAGCAACTACATCCAACAACAAAAATGATCATAAGATTTGATTTTTATTTAGTTTATCAAAACACAGGTATATGGTATATGTTGTTTTAGATTTGATTTTTGTTGAGTTTATCAAAACGCAAGTATTTTTTTAGGAAAACATACAATGTACACTTTAATAAAGAGTTGTAAGTTTGCTGTAAGTTTTTGCACCTTAACATAAAGCAATTCTCATGTTTTTTTTTTCATTTTAATATAGCTGAGAACAAAATAATTCGAGTTCTCTATTCACGCGAGATTCATCAGAATTATGTCAGGCAACTGCGTGACTCTCCTCGTCTGTAAACTGAATATTTTAATAAAAAACAAAAATAGCATCTTACAATCATTTAAAGTAAGTAATGACAGATTTTTGATGTGTTTATTAGATGTTGATTCCTTTAATGTCGAACGCTCGTTTGGCATTTCACAGTTTTAACTGGGCATGCGCAGACTATGTTTTTTCAACGCATTCAATGTATTTTGTTTTTAGATTTAGATGGCTAAAACCTTTCATTGTATTTATATGCTTTCCAATACATTCGCATTTTTATATAATCATGTTTTAATAAAAATACACATGCTTTAGCGTTAATTTAGGTATTAATTTAACAATCTACTTGATCCATTTTGTAAATATTTAACTTTTCATAAAATAAGGGTACATGTATTTAATGTGTTTACAATTTGATACTTATTTGTAAATTTTATTCTTTTTTATGTTTAAAGTATATATTTTGTTCCATCGAGGATAGAAAAATCTTTCTTGATTAACAGGCTAGTAAGTAGTAAATGTTTTTTAACAAAGCGGGTCCAAATTAATTACTGATAGTTAATTTCACGTATAAAGTCATAATAAAGTCATAATGTGATCTAGACGCACGACGGCTTTGTTGTTATCTCGGCGTATCTGGTCAATAATGGTCAATCTGGTATAAATGAAGGCATTACTTATTACGATTACTGTGTTGTGTCAACTAATATATGCTTTCATCTCTGCTTTAAAACTTTGTTGACAACTTCTACAACGAATAATAATACTAGATGCTTGACGTTTTCATTACAAACAATTTCAAACATTTCCATAACAATTTTAGTTGCCAAAATATGGAAATTATGATATTTCCTACACAATCAAATTTCAAATATTCTGCAGTATAATTGATAATATATCATGCAACGAGGCCCTTTATTGGTATATAACGACAATGCCCGAAAAATGATATACTATGATAATATGACAGCCGGGAAATGAATAGAAACGTGAGAATCTTTGCCGAAGACCGTGTTGAATATTACACCCAACCTTTTCATACAAAATTACTCTATTTTACTTTCTCAGTTGTTACATTTCGCCTTTCCAACGTTCGATAATATACTGCACTTGTTCTTTGTTTTACAGAGCACAAGCAAATCCTGGCAGTTGTTACCATTGGGAATTATTCGTGTTCCAGTTCAAATGCCGTATCACTCGCACGTAACAATCGTGTGGTGTTTTTATAGCCTACGGTGAAAGAAATACATTTTTGTATAACATTCGTGTATATTTCAGGTTCCATCGCGTGAAGTTTACAAGTGCTCCAGCTGATGATTGGCTTTTTGACCAGGTGCAATATAAAACCAGTTATATCAGTATAGTTCAAATTGTTCGTCGACATGGAAATGATAGATTTGTCATAAAATAGGAACGGCCTGCAGATTGACCTCAACTGTTTTTTTTTCATAGCACAAAAGAGCTAAGTTTGATAAGTAATTTCTTGCACTGGCATTTTGTTCTGAAAATATTGTTGATTCATACGTATTATTCATATGCTTTCCATTTCATTATTATTCTAACGGCATGCAAATTGAATTCAACTATTATTTTTTCATAGCACAGAAGAGCTAAGTTGTTAAGTAATTTCTTGTTCTTGCATTTTGTTCTGACGAGATTGTTGGTTCATACGCAATATTTATATGCTTTCTAGTTTATCTTTGTTCTCATATTTTGTACATGTTTTATTTGTATCATATGAAATTGACAACAGAACAGCTCCGCGTTAACAACAATGTCCAAACCCTGTCCTGTCTTTGTTAAGTCTTTGTTAAGTCTTTGTTAAGTATCCTGCTGGGTTCCTTGCCACTGGTCCTATATTGCTGGATTGTGTTGGAAGCTGCGTTCAGCAGGCATCACCTTTTCCTGTTTATCTATGTTCTCAAATTTTTGCATGTTTTATTTGTATCGTATAAAATTGACAAACGAATAGTTCCGATTTAGTACTGTTAGTAAATAACCAGTTTGACTTGCGGGTGCTTGAAAATGATTAAAATTATTTTTTACAATTATTAAGTTGATTTTCTTTTTCTTGAACTGATTGTCGAAAAACGATTTATAATTCTATAAAAACGACCAAACTTCTTATAACGCATCAATTACGATTAATCAACCCGTAAAGGCGCAAAGGCAGCACTTGAGAGTCATCATTTCACATCTTTTCATCCGTTTTGTATGATATACAAATCAGGAACACGAGCAATATTTAAAAAAAAGTTAGGAAATCATATATCTGATGTCAAAACACAAAATAACTTGTTAGAATTTTGTTGTGTGCAAGGAAACATTGCTATGATTATCTTTTCCAATGCGTATACATGTCCTTGGCGGATTTATCGATATAGACGAACAGAAAAAAGATGGATACCTATCTGAAACATTTTCAAAACAAAACAATAATTCAACAATATAAACTAAGTATGTAAGTTATTCATTTAAAAAACGATAATCTATTTTCTGCCACGGTCAACATATTATTACTTATGTTATCTTTAATTACATTTGATTTGTTTCAAACTTTAGGACTGAATGTCGATTATGTATTGATTAACAAGCGGTTAACACGTGATTATGATTGTGTTAACAATGGAGGTCGAAATCAATTACTGTTAATACATAGCTATGTATATGGTTATATCTTGATACAGGTGTAATTGGGTATAATTGGTCAACCTGGTAGTGATGAATAGATACTTCAAGCCCAGGACTACCGCATTGTATGAACTCATTAATGCTTTTATTTCAGCTATAAAGCTGATAAATCGAATTCATCGAATTGATACAAAAGTTAAAGCATAGAATTGATTAATACATTTATTCCGCCTTCCGCCAAGTTAACAATAAATGTATAAAAAAGTACTTTATCGTGGAATGTAAATGATTTCTTTCCGATGCCACTGGTATAATTACATTCACTATATTAATTTTAGACGATGAATGTACGCTAATAGTCAATAAATGCCAAGTAAGGTATGTCAAAGATCAATCTAATGGTAGATGTTAAACTGTTCTTCCAGAAAATTTTATGAAGGACTCTTGCCTCATTATCATGATAAAAAACGATCGATATAACTTTTGGTAAAATTGATGCAAATATTAACGTATAACTATGTCCTGAATGGTCATGATTTCTGGCGTAGGATCTCCTTGTAATCATTGGGACTCCACTGAGGTTTTTCTGCTGGAAATAATTTTTCAAGATTAACTATCCATTTGATAAAGGTCAAGACCATGCAATAATGTGTGTGCGAAATTTCAGATTATTTTCTCACTCAGCTTTTCCAGAGTAATTGTTTTGATTGTGAAAACATGACCCAAAATGTAAAAGCGTTGCAACGCTTTTTCACTCAAATCGGGTAAGTTATCGCACAAAAATATAATCTTTGTTAGATGTCTCTTAATCATTTTTTGTCTATCATTCTGTTATATGTGTTGCAGGTGATCTGTGTTACTGTAAGAAATTTATTTTTATGTTTCAGGCTTTTGGAGCCCATTAGCATTCCTTATCACGTGACATGAGATAGTGAAGCACGGTGAAATTTCGCTCGGTGAAAAACTCGGTTATTTTTCCAATTCTAGTGATTATTTGGACCTTTATTCATATATATTGGTGCTTATATTGTTTAATTTGGTAGTGACTAAACAGAAATGGAAAAACAGCTGAAGAATTCGACTTCTAAGAGTGATTTTGCACAGGGTTCAGCAAAAACACGAGGTAATAATGGCGCGTGTGTATCTACCCCCCCCCCCTTCAGGCGGTAGCTGTTTGTTTGTGTTTTTTTTTTCTTTTTTCATCTCTCATTCTCTCATGATAATTATTAATTTTCCTCTTACAAACCTCAAAAATAATATTGTACTGTGTAGAAATTTATTAAATAAAACCATGTCATGTGTTAAATTAACAAATATTCACTACTGTTATGTATACTCATGTGTTATATTGTATGTAACTTGAGTTAATAAAGATATGTTCTGTTCTGTTCTTAAATAAAGAGGACACCCGACTTCTAAATTTAACTATTATAATGAATCATTTATACGAACAAATAATTGATGAAAAGCTGCTTAATGATTTGAAACAAGAGCAGCAAATACCAGGCTGGTTGAATTTCGCTATCGCTATGAAATTTCAGGCTGACCTTACTGTTAAGTAGTACGGGAATTATCATAACAAGCATAAAGAAAAGGAAAGGTAACGAATGACAATCTTGCATTTGTTGCAGACGATGACGGTAAAAAACGTGACTTGGGACACTTAAGTTTTCACTTTTTGCTCAGCATTAAATGTTGCAGGAAATTGTCTTGTAAATAATTACTTAAATTAAAAATAATAATCTTTATGCTTCAATCGTGTGAACTATTGTTTTACTGCCAACTGTATCTAGAGTTGAATCGCTCTTTAACGATGTATGACAGATGAGGACATAAATAAAATACATTTAAGTTGCGATTTAGATTTTAACTGTTTGTATTTGTCGCTTTGTTTTGTTTATGCTTGCAAAGAACAACAGCAAAAAGTTTAGGCATTGTTTTCTTTATAAAGATTCACACACACTTCAGACAGACAGACAACAACACAAGATTCAGTACTTCTTATTTCATTTATACATGGTCATTAATTTGAGCATTTAACCATTACATTTTATTAACTTTCAGGATTGAATCAAATACCTATAATAATGTCATCAGAGGTGCTTCAATGTAGCTTCAATGATTAAACAATCGTTGTTTTTTTACATATTATAATTGGGCATCAAAATTGTTTATTATGCAATTTAAATCGATTCCAAGAAAACCTAGACATCTTCGATAACTGACGTTCAATCTTAATTGGATAGAACTACTATTCTGACATGCTAAAATAAGATGTGCAAATAAATTCATATTTTCAAATAGTGATTTAAGGACAAGCTGTTTTAAATGCGATATGGCTATGGTTAACAATCCGTCAGTATTTAATTTATTTTTTAATATAAATAACAATTTATAAAAGTACGAAAATAATTTGAATAGAAATGTAAAATCATTGATTATCAAAATATAAATATTAAAATATAGTGTGCATGTATGCAATTTGATTTTGTTACGGCATATACAATCTTACTTATACTTTTTATAAAAATCAACAAAAAACATGGCGCAGCAATGCAGCTCCGGCCAAACGAGCTACACAAAAAAATCAAAGGACCAAGACGCATATAAATGGCACTAACAGGTGAATTCAACCAGATAATTAAATAATTAAATCGGTTCTAGGTCAAGCAACTTATCCGTGCCATATATCTTAGTAAAATGCTTTATAAATTACTAATTCAGGAATTTTTAATGAAAATATATGAAGTCATTAGAATTAACGGGATATAATTAGCTATTTCTGATGATATTAATGCACAAGGGACGTCATCATTCGGAAAATATAGAGAAGATAACGTTTGGGGAGATTTCGCAAAGATACCACTTTCGCTAATAGATTATTTATTGGCTAAACTGTTTTCTGTTTTCCTCTAAACTGTGAAAGTCATGCGTTCCGGTAATACCATATTTTTGACGATATGTTTTGTTGATGCTGCAATACTTATTTTGAGCAAAATACTAATTTTTATCCAAAAAGAAAACAAATTAAATGCTTGTTATTCTCGGAATCTTTTGATTAAGAATGATAAAATCGGAATAAATGCATTTTACCTTTAAGTAACAATAGACCGACAGAACCCCCGCTTTTCCTAGAACGACCTCAACATTTTTTTCGCACTCGCAAAAATTGCTCGTCCCGGTAAAGTGCATTTTACCCTAAAATATTAATATAATTTAGGGGTCATGTGGCGTAATAAAAGCATTTCATTTCTTATTAACAATAAAATACATGCACTGAACTATTTAGCAATCACAACAGTTAATTTAATCCTTAATTTAGTGAGCAACACATCTTTACAATAAATATTGTTTAATGTCCTCTGCTCAACGTATCCACATGGCATCAATTTGTCTCTTTCTGATAACCAACAGCAGAAAGTGTTTGTTATCTACATACAAAACACCATACGTGATTTCGGATGGTTTGACGAGTTACCACTTTTGTTCGGCTTTTCGCACCAAAACATCATATGTCATATGGCGACTTTCCCGGTCTACTTGTAGACCACATGAGCCTTCCCATGTATTAATAAATGCACGGAAGGGCATTCGAGTAGAACCAACAACTTGGTCTATAGCTTTCTCAAATGAATGAATCCAACGTCCATACCGGGATTCTAACTTACAAAGTTGAAGAGCAATTATGAGTTACTACTGCTCAATGTGAACACATGTGATTTCCAAAAGCAGAACAATCGTTTAAATCCAACCTTAAATCTTTGATTCATAAGTCCGTACACTACCGGGTTACAACCACTGTTTGCGTACCCAATAAGTAATGTAAACATATGAAACTCTCTCGGGACTAAATCAGGAATGTATATGGACAACAGCATGCTTATGCAGTACGGTAACCAACATATAACAAACAAGACAACAACTATTATCAACGAAAACGCTAGCCGTATCTCCTCTCGTCTTCTGATCTTTTTTGGAGATCGTAATTGAACTGAAGTATCATTCTTGGATTTGTTTGCAGCAAACTTTTTCTCAGTGTCCGTTTCAGTCCCTGAATCTATCGCTGATGCGGATTCTTTTGATAGTTCAGACACACTTTTTCTTTTCCAGCTGGGGTGTAATAAATTGTTATCAACATTATTTTGATTCCTGTTTGATTCAGAATTTGTTTGTCGGTGAAATGATTTCACCTTTTCCTTACTTTGAGTTCCGTCTTCAAAAAGTTTATTTCGTCGTTGACTATTCCTTCCTTGTTGTTTAATTAATGCGGAATTAGATTCGCTCGACGAATCGTCTGATAGAGCATCATGTAATGGACGTTTATCACTTTGTTTTTGATCTGTATTTTGAGCATCGTATTTAGGTATTTCTAAATGAATATCAACATGTTCATCATCTGCTTTAATTGTGTCACTGATTGTCGTGTTATTGTTATTATATACTACTTCCGTTTGAGCGGTAACAGAGGGTGTGTTTTGCTTTGAATTATGCACATTTTGTCCATCGTTGTCCTTTGGGGGTTCACAGTCATACGTACTGTTCACAGTCGAAGAGATCGTAGCTCTGTATGTGGTCTTGACTTTCCTTCTGCTCTCTCTTACTGATCGTATAATACATATGTTGCAAAATGTCATGACAGCAAAGGGTATTTCCAAAGCAACACCCAATCATAAAGTAGCGTAAGATTGGTAATTCACCCAATCGGCAAAACAGAATGAGTGAGTAGGCGTGTAGACATACTTTGACCCAACCTAAAAGAGGTGGGACGACAAAAAAGTACGGCACAATGTCACGGTTGCTAAAAACATAAAAAAAATATTTAATAATTATTTAACTACATGTATATGAACAAAAGCCCTTCTTTACATAAAATATGCGATAATTTATTCTTAACATTTTATTACTTATTCTAAACAGAACACTGCCTATGGGATAACATAAGGTGTTGATGTACAGGATTTAACTTATAACCATGATAATATCTTGTTCAGAGGTTTGTATGCTTTGATAACTTTAAAAATGATGGAAGCTAAAATATTACAAGTAATTAATGAAAAATCTTTAGATAAACAGACACTTACCCAACTATCATAAGGGAATTGCTTTCTGGTATATAAATGCCTTGAAAATTGCTGGGGCGCAACCATGAAAGAAATTATTGATTGAAATGTTTGCAAAGGACAATAGTTTGTTAACAAGATGATCATTGTTTGAGGGAAAAACGCAACACAGGGCAAGGGTGTTGACAGCACCAGTAGCCCTTGATATGGTGACTACGGGTAAGGCAGTTTACTGTTTGCCCGAGAAGATCTGAATTAGACAAAACCAAAACACATGTTTTTAAACATTAATGATTATTACTTAACTAAGGGTATGGTTAATGGGAAATTAATTATTTATTTGGTTGAACTTTACCTCTTTACTTTGCGATTTTTTTGATCTTTTTTTTTTTTGAAAGATTCGCAGAAAGGGGGTAGTTAGGTTATAGGGAATATTCATGACTAATATGGAGAACATGTTCCTTTTTTGGGTTAAAACAATGCTTAATTGTCAAATTCCTATAATAATATTTAGTTTTTACTACGATTCGGACTTTGCTTAACCTGCCCTAAATTTTAAGTTTGGATATTTACGCTTTCGATTTTTTGGAACTGCCCACTTTCCAGTTTTCGGAATATCAAGATAAAATTAAAGTAAGTTTTAACAGTGGTTGTGAAAGTCAGGTTTAAGTAATGCAAAGAAAGTGTACGTTGGCTCTGTCCTTTATGGTCACCAAAAGGGCCACTACTTTTAGGTTTTCCCGCCCGAGAATGGTTTTATACAATTTATCATCAACTGTGAAAGGATATAGAAAACCCGGGGTTATCTATTGGTACGAGGTAAGCATAGCCGCCTGTGTTTAAAAAAATTTGAGTGTTTTGAAATTTGTTTTCTTTTATCCATCAGGGGACAGTGCAGTTACTGAAGTTCTTGTAACTAATTTACTTGCACTCCAGTTAACGCACTTGTATTGCGATTTAACTATGTCACTTTTCAGGTTTTTTAGAAAGTCTCTAAACTATTATTGCAAAACTACGCATAATAGCATAAATAGACAGAAGAAATACTTAATGATCCGTGTGATTGTGTATACACTGTATTACAATGTCTTCTGTAAATCTATAAACCAATGATTTGTACTATGTTCCAGAAATTTTGTAGACAATTACAGATTTATGCCGCAGAAAAAAAACATTTCATTTAGAGAACGCTTTGTCTAAAATATAAATTTTCTGTATAGAATGATAGGTTTTAAGATTTCGTTGTGGATTTAGAAAATATTTTATTAAATGTATATGCGGTTTTGTTTTCTTCTATTTTTTTTTTTAATTTTTTGTTGATTTTTTTATTATTTTTTATTATAAAATTATGTCGACTTTTGTGGTCCAATAATTTGGTTTTAACATAACCCTTTTTTTCGGGAAAATTTGGATTTGGTGGGGGTTTTTATTTGTTTATCTTTCCTTTTCAAAAGGGTTTTTTTAAATTCCCAAAAACTTCGGAAAAAAATCCCAAGGAAACAGGGGAAAAAATTTTTCCCATTGTTATGTTTGGGTTTTAAAGCCGGAAGTTTTACAATTTACCATTTTCCTTTTCTTTTGGGGGCATTTTAAACATAAAAAAACTGCGCCTTAAACCTTTAAAAAATAATTTCCCCTTTGATTTTTCTTTTAAAGGGTTTTTTTTCATTTGGGGGTTTGAAAAATTTTCCTGTTTTTTTTTTAAAAATTTTTTTTTTCCCTTTTTTTATTAAAAAAATTTTTTTAAAAAAAATTTTTTGCCGCCCAAATTTTAATTTAAAACCCCTTTTTAAAAAAAAGGAAATTTAAAGGGTTAAAATTCAATTTTTTTAAAGTTATTTTAAAATTCGAAATTTATTCCCCTTTAAAAAAATTTTTTGAAATTAAAATTCCCAAATTTTCCCCCCAAAATTTTTTCTGTTTCGTAAAGGGCATTTAAAAAAAACTTTTTAGCCCTTAATATTAAAATGCCAAAAAAACGTAAAAGGGGTAAAATTGTATCTTTGAAATTTTTCTTTTAAAAAGGGTTTTTAAAATATTTTTAAAAACTTTCCGTTTTTTTTTTTTTTTAGTTTAGTTTTTTTATTTTTATTTAACCCCCCAAAAAAAAAATATTTGTTTTTCCTTTTTAAAAAGAAGAAAAAGTTAAAGGAAAAATTTTTAATCTTCAAAATTTTTAATTTGCCGGGGTTAGGCCCTAAAAAAAGGTTCCCCCCTTTAATTAAAAATTTAAAAAAAGAAAAAAAATTTCTTTTTAATAGGTTGAATTATTTGACAAAATTTTTGCTATTTAAATAGTTTGGGGAAGGCCACTTGGGGAAATTAAAAAACTTTTTCCCCATATTTAAAAAAAAAAATGAATGAAATAAGTAAATTAACCCAATTTTTATTTTGAAAAAATTTTTTTTTAAAACCCTTTCCTTAAGGGTTTCCCTTAAAGTAAAAAAATTTCCCAAAAGAAAATTTGAGGGGACGAAAAGTTTTAACCCCCTTTTTCTAAAACTGGGAAATTTAAAAAATACAAAAATAAAAAAAGTTTTAAAAATTTTTGGCCTCAAAAAATTTTAAAAACTTTTAAATTTTGTATTTTGGAATCGAAAACCCCCTTTAAGGGAAAATTTTTTTAAAAAAACATTTTGAAAAATTTTTTTTAAGGGAAAAGAAGAAATTTAATCCTAATTCTGGGGGCACGGTGTAGGGTTTGGGTTTTTGCTGTTTTTTTTATTTTAGTTTTGGCTTTCCCTTTTATAAATTTTGACCAGTTTCTTCTAAATATATCCAAACCCAGGCTTTTAAACCCCGGGAAAAAAATTTTACAAATTAAAAAAAACGGGAATTTAATTTTTAAAATAAAATTTAAACAGATTAAAGGCAAGGGTAAAAGGGCTTTTAATGGAATTTTTAAAACACCGCAAGAAATTGATTTGAAATTAAACCCAAAAATTTTTTTACATAAAAAAAAATTTATCAAAATTTTTTTGGGCCAAACCCCTTTTTAAAAACCCGTTTAAAACTAATTTTTTTGGAAATTTCTTAAAAAAATTTAAAACCAAAATTTGTTTATAAAGTCCCTATTTCCCCAAAAATAAAAACCCCCCTGTTTTTTTTCTTCTTTACTTTAAAAAATTTGGTATTTTAAAATTTCTAAAAATTTTTGGGTCAAACAATAAGGTATTTTTTTTAGGTTTATTGGTGTTTTTGAAATCCCATTGGGGTTTTTAATTTCCCCTTGGTTTTGGGGAAACTTTAAAACCTTTTTTCCCAAGAAAATTTAAAAAATCCCCAAGTATGCAAAAAAATTTTTATTTAAATTTAAAGGGTTCCCTTTCTTTTTTACAATTTTTAAAAATTTTCCCTTAAAAAGTTAAATTAAAAGGTTCATTAATAATTGGGAATTGGGATTTGCGTTTAAATACACAAGGCTTTGTTGGTTAAAAATAAAAATTTTAAATTTTTTTTTTTAAGAAATTTGGGGCTTTTAATTTCCAAAAAACATTAAAATTTCTTTTTTTTTTTAATTTTTTTAAAAATTTTTTGGAAAAATTCCCAAATTTTTAAAAAAAAATTTTAATTTTTGTTTAAAATTTTTTTCCCCCTTTTGGACTACAATTGCAAAACTTTCTTTTTTTTATGGGTAGGGGGCAAAGGGCACCTAAAACAAATTATGTTTCACAAAGGCAAAAATTTTTAAAAATTTTTAAAAATTTTTCATAAAAATTTTTTAATAAATTTTTTATTAACCTTTTTAAATTTTTTATTTTTATTAAAACAACAATTTAAAAAATTTAGCCCAAAAATTCAAACCAAAATTCCCCCTTTTTAAATTTTCGTTTTTAATTCCCAAAATTTAAATTTCCGACACTTTTTTTATTATCCCAAATTTTGTTTTTATAAAATAAGCTTGTTTTAATTTTAAAAATTTCAAACTAAAGGGGGAAATTTTCCTTAAATTAACCTTTTCATTAAAAGCGGTTGGCCCTTAGGTAACGGCAAAAATTTTGAACAAAAGTTTCAATCCCTTTTTTTTAAAGGATTTTTGAATTTTTGGTTTAATTTTACCCTTTAAACCTAAGTTACCAACTGGGGGAATTATCAAAAATTTAACCAAAAAACCTGGTTTAAAAAACGGGCGGTAGAAAATTTTTTTGCTTTTTTATTTAAGGGGGTTTTTCCCCAAAAAAAATGTGTTTATAATTTTTTCCCTTCATTATATTGGAAAAAAAACAAAAATGAAAATTGTTTTTACCCTTTTTCCAAAGGGTTAAAATTAAAACCAAAAAAATTACTTTCTTTTAAATTTCCTTGAAACAATTTTTTTTTAAAGGGAAAAAATTTTTGGCCGTTTTTTCCCGCCTTGATTTTTTCCAAATTGCCCGATAATTTTAAAAAGCTTTAAAACCTTTCCCATTTAATCCTTTAAAAGGAAAAAATATATTTTTTAGGTTCTTTTCCTGTAAAATTATTTTTGTTTAAATACCCAAAAATTTTGGGTCAAAAATTTTTATTTTACCCATTAAAATTTTTTAAATTTCAAAAATTTTTAAATTAAAATTTTACCTTAAAATTTTTTGAAAAAGGGGGTAAAAAGAATGGAAAATTTTCTAAATTTAAGGGGAATTTTAAAGGGAAATTACCATATAATTTTTGGTAACCTTTAAAGTGAAAAAA